TATATATATATATATATATATATATATATATGGCAATATATATACATAAAATATACACACACACACCCCATACATTTATATTATATTATTATATATTATTATATATGTTTTTATTTATTTCAGAGAGAGGAAGGGAGAGGGAGAGAGAGACAGAAACCTCAATGATGAGAGAATCCTCAATCGGCCGCCTCTACTGGGGATCGAGGAGCCCACACCCTGGGCATGTGTTCTGACTGGGAATTGAACCATGACCTCCAGGTTCATGGGTCAACGCTCAAGCACTGAGCCACACCGGCCAGGCAGTATTGCCGTAGTTGATTCAGGACAATTTCTGCTTGTCTGCCTTCCTGCAACACATTAATGTGCTAACATTCACCTGGTTAGTAAGCGCTCACCTGATTGCTTGTTGGTTTGATGGTTTGTGTATCTGTTTATTTCTCTTTGAACTTCATTCCTGTGGCAAATGTGGCCTTTGCTTCCTCTGCCTTCCTCTGGTTAAAGTAGATGGTCTAATATTTAGTTCCCTGGGCCCAGACTACATCCCTAGTACTCTACCTGTGACCCCGCAGGATAGATGGAGTGGAAGACAGTCATTATAATAACAATTGTCATCGCCTTAGTTCTTTCTTAGGCGTGGGCAGAGATTTGTAGTGTCCGTAGGGGGTGCACCCTGTGGATTTGCTCACCAGTTGCCCACAGAGCGAGGATCATGCCTCAGGTGTCAGCTCTAAGAAGTGTATCGACTGCCGTGTGAGGGATGCTAAATGCGAGGGCCTGACGTATTATCACACCAAGGTTGACACGGGCAGAAAACAGGCAGAGAGAGAGCAGGCAAATTCAAGGGCTGGAGGGAGGACCTTGGAAACCGAGCCTTAACAATATTTGCATCTATTCTGGGAAGAACCTCTTTGCCCTGCTCAGATCGCCTGCATCTGCTACTCCGCCCTCTGCATTGGGGCCGCCGGAGGGACAGCCATCACCCAGGACTTTCAGAGCAGCCCTATGGGAATAGATCTTGAAGTCTGGGCACCCGCTTTGTCCACAGGGGTGGTGAATGGGGCTGACATGGTTCCAGGACTTCCGGAGATGACAAAGAGAGCCATCGTCTTGGGTATCATTTCAGTCCTTTTGTGCCTGGTGGCCGTGGCTGTGGTGAACAGTGGCCTCATCACTGCAGCACTGGGCATGCAGTGGTTGCTACAAACATGGTCACCTTGCAAAAGATAAATTATTCATCAGCCTGGGGTCTCTCGCTTTTGTCTGCAACGGGTGGTGATCAGTGAGAGAATTTATGTTTTCCTGTATCCAAAGGCCTTCCTGTACAACCCTGTATCCAGTTCCTAGCCCTGCAGCGGGACTTCTTTACCGCGGCCACCTTATGGCTTTCCAGCTGGCTCGGTCTCTTCCGCTGCGTGAAAATTGCAGCCCTCACTCACCCTGTCTTCCTCTGGCTGAAGCAGAAGGCGTCTGGGTTGGTGCCAGGGATGCTGCTAGCTCCGTGAGGTTCTCCAGCTTGAGTACCATCTTATTTTTCACAGGCACCCCAAGCATTTATCAAAGAGAGGCCTGCAAATTGGAATGCCACTGGGAATACTATCAGGAGGACATATGAGAAATTCTACTTCTTCCCCCTAAAAATTGTTACCTGGATACTCCCTACCATTGTCTTCCTCACTGGCTTGGTTTTGCTCGTCACATCTCCAGGAAGACCCGCCCAGAAGACCCTCCTCACTGTCTCGGGCTCTCACGGCCCCAGCGCTCGGGCACACATCAAGGCTCTCCTGGCTCCCATCTCCTTTGCCATCCTCTGCACCTCTTTTCTGTCACTGGTGCTCAGCGCTGTGGATGTCTTCCCATCTCGGGAGTGTAAATGGAAGGTGATGATTTTTTGCGCACAGCGGTCCACCCCCAGTCTACTGGTGCAACCCCAGGCTGAGAGCTGTGCTGGAGAGGAGAGGGGCTGCTCCTTCAGGTGCGGGGCATCTTCAGTCGCGACGGATGAAAACCCTCAGAGACTCTAATGCAGAAGGCATGGGGACACTGCTTCTTTCAGTCCCTTTGCCACCACCCTTAATGCTCTTTTCCTCTTTGCCACATTTCATGATGAGGAGAGGAACTTCAATGAAACGGGATTTCAAGGGGAGATCGAAGGTCCTGAAATAGTGGCTGGCATCGCTGGTTTACACACTCAGCAGGCGTGTTCCCTGATACGGCTGTGCTCCCCGTGGGACCTGATGTGGCCGAGACTCAGGAAACGTTTACTTCCCCTGCGGTCTCCCTCTCGGTGTTTAAAATTATCCTTCTGAACACCGGACGCGCGGATCCTGACACAGCAGGCCATTTGTGTCTGTTCAGTCGGACTCGGGCAGATCTTTGCACCCTCAGTTGTCCTCTGGCCTCGCGCTTCAGACCGCATTTCCTTTTTTATCACCTACCTGTCTTCCAGCCACATCCCGCAGTGCGGCTCTCTGCCCTTCCCTGCAGGAGCCCCCGATGGCCGAGTCCTCCCAGGGCCTGCGGGGGTTCGTGCGTGTGCGTGGCAGTGAGTGTTACCCGGCTTCGGATATTTGCAGACGGCCTTCTGAGGGCCCTCTGAGGGCTAGTGCTTTATGGTTTATGTATTGTCTGCGCTCTCCACAGTAGCCCAGCCTCTTAGTTGGTTTTGTACATGTTAAGGTCCACGCACCCCGAGGCGATTTCTTTTTTGCTGACGTTGAGACCCACGGAAATCTTGATGTGGAGAGTTTCCCCTCTACCTGTCTGACCCTTGAGATTTTAAGAAGAAAAAACGAACCAGATCCTGGCATGATGTGCTGAAGAAGGAAGACTGCGTTTTCTGCCCACCACAGATCTGCTGAGACCTCCCTTAAGCTCCGTTACCACTGGAACCATTCGCACTGAGACCCCTAAACTTCCCTCTGTCGGCTTTAACACCTCTCAGCCTCGGCTCCCCTTTCTCCTCCCTCTCCCCTCTGCACCCGGAGACGCGTCCCGCTTTTGGCTTTTTAAGGCTTCTTTTCTGCTCCCTGCTCAGAGTCTCACTTCTGCGCGAATCTTCAACCTTTCCCTCCCTATTGCCTTTCCCTTCTCCAACAAATGTACCTCTTAACTTTTCTCCAGAAAAAGATCCACTCGGCTCTCTTACCCACTTAAGTGATCATCCTGCTAATTAGTCACTTGCTCAGAGTTCCCCCCTCCCCACAGCCCTTCACGGTCATCTTCTGTTCCCCATTCTGTTGAAATGTGTTTCTAAAGGACACACATGAGTTCCCGATCCCTCCATTCGATATCCTCAGCTCTCATCTTCCCTTGTCTCTGTAGTATTTGCCTCTCTTGATAACAGATTATTTCTTAAAAACAAGCTCGTTTCAAATATGTTTACAGAAGTAATGCCTGCTCTTGGTAGAAGATACTTAAAAAAGGAAAGTAAGCCCAGCCAGTGTGGCTCAGCGGTGGGGCATCCACCTAGCATCCAGGTGATCGGGGTTCGAGTCCCGGTCAGGGCACATGTCCAGGCTCCGGGCTCCATCCCCTGTTAGGGGCGTGCAGGAGGCGGCCGATCAATGACTCTCTCATCATTGATGTTTCTGTCTCCCTCTCTCCCTCTCCCTTCCTCTCTCTGAAATCAATAAAGATATATTTTTTTTAAAAAGGGAAGTAAATACCACCTGCCATGGGTGGGGTGGAATGACCAACTTCCTCTGATAAGGAGGGGTTGCCTCTGTCGGTAAAGATTTGACAGAATTTAGAGGTTCAGGTTTCTTGCAATCTTCACTCCAGATCTCCCATAGTATCAAACTGAGTCTAGAGTCACCCCCAAACCACTTCATTTTTGGGGGCCTAGCTTCTTCCCCTGCCCTGTCTGGTGTCCTTCAGTTCCCTACAGGTTCCTCCTGAAAGCAAATCCTCAAAAAGAGCCCCCGTCACAGGCCCCATTTCTGCAGAGCTGGATCTAAGTGGGCGACCTTCAGACTGTTTCTCTGCGCCACACTTTACATCCCCTCTGAAGCATCGCATGGACGTCTAACAGGCATTTCAAACAGATCCAGAATGCAGCGCCCAGTATTTTCCTGCTCCCACACGCTTCGCTCTGTGTCCTTCCTGTTGCGGTGTCACAGCTCCGATTCTTCCAGCTGCTCTGGACAAACCTTTTTACATCCCGCCTTCAGTCGCTCGGCAACTCTGATGCCAGACTGTTTAACC